TTGATGATCGTTGCCTGAGTAGCATTGCTGGTGTCGGATAGCGCAAGCGTGTCCGCAACGATAGTGTGCGCAGGTGAGTATTAGGCGACGACAGTCAAGTTACTTAGTTAGTAGATTAAGTAGCGTTAGCTTAGGTACATGCTACCTATACCGTTACCGCTTGCTAGGGAGTGGCTTGTTCTGCATGTCGGATAGTGTAAAAGTCGACTTGATAGTTGAAAGTGAAATCACTGACGGCCAAAGTAGCTGCTTTTGGTTCGTCCCGCCCTCCAGATTGGAGTCCACGCGAACCATCTTCTGTTTGGCTCGAGACGTTACCGAACATGGCTCGCATTCAACACATGGCGCGACTGCTGTCGTCTCCTTGTGTCCGATTCTGTTACCTATGAGGCGATGGCTGATTATGACGCAGAGTAGTAAACGTTGCAAGGAAATCATATCGCCTATGCCACCTTATCCTAGCAAGATGACCAGCTGTTTGTGAACATATATTGTTAACAAGGTGTACGCGCGCTGTCCTGAATGTCTGCTTAGAGTATTTAGGTCCTACATTTGATCCTCGTTCTGTTCCTCTTAATGTTCTCATTCTGTAGTTCACTGAGGCTGTACAGCAGTAAAGCATCAGCTCAAACAGAGATTGTGATGACTGTCTAAGTAGGCATAACTGGACATGGGCTGGGATTTTTTCAGTGGTCTCAAGCGTAGACAGTAGAACGATTAGAGTCCTCAACCAAAGCCTTTGAATCAAAAGCCTGACTGTGAGACTGCGGTAAAATGGCAATGATCAGATTGTACAGACATGGACAACATCCCATTTCCAACCACCAACCATTACACGTTAGCTGGAGGTGGAAAACGCCTCAGCTATTGTGCCGCAATACAAAAGGCAAGAAAAGAAAAACAAACAGTAGCATGCCAGCTGAGTCCCCAGTAACAGATGGACATCGTTCCGGAGAGCTAACAGCTGGCTGCCGTAAAAGAAAGTCATATTATGCCTAACGATTGAGATCGTGATTGGAGGGGGATGCTAAACAGGAGGGGGATGGACAAAGGAACTCACAACACAAACGCCATTGGGGCCGGCTCCTAGCCATATCAGCAAGTGTGTCCAGCCAAACGTGTTCACCGTCCTTAGGACCCCAGCCAGGCAGTCGGGATGCACCAACCGACGCCAACTTCGAAGTGAGGGTTTTCATTTCTCGCGACCAAGTCATCACTTGGCCTCCCCCTCCTCCTCTTCCAACCGCACCCACAACGCGCAAACAATGCACGTCGTGGGAGTCGGTGTGCTGGCATGCGCAAGACGTGGCCCAGCCATCGGAGCCTGGTGCGTGATATAATCGTGCTGAGCGGTTCACTCGCTCTTCCTGCACCAAATACGCGACGTCGAACACGCTCATTGTTCACGCGGTGTTCCCACCAGACATGAGCTAAGCTGCGAGGACAGCGATGATCGAATGTGACGAGCCTCTTCATGTCTGTGGACCTGATGGGCCAAGTTTCACAGCCATATAGGAGAGTTGAACGGACGGCTGCGTTGTAAACTCTGCCCTTGAGGGCGAGAGTAATGTCGCGTCTGCGCCACAGGTGGCGGAGATTGGCAAAAGCACCTCGAGCTTTTGCTATACGGTTCGTAACCTCATCTTCAATCCCACGGGTGCTAATATAGCTGCCCAGGTACTTGAATTCCTGAACGACTTCTAGCAGATCACCACCAAGCGTTAGCGCAGGATTGGGTCCCTGCCAATCTTGGAGAAGTACTTTGCATTTTGATGGAGCAAAGCATAGCCCAAAACGACTGACAGCCAGTGCTAATCGGTTCAGTGCTGTTTGGCATGTTTGGGAGCCGTCACAGATTAGGGCAATATCGTCTGCATACTCCAAGTCAAGAAGTCGCTCACCAGGGAGTAGCTCCACACCTTCTAGGTCGTGTCCAGCGAACGCTGTTTCCATGACTTCATCAATAGCGAAGTTGAAGAGGAAAGGTGACAGCGGGCAATCTTGTCTCACACCGCTGGTGATACTGAAGGGTGGCGAGAGTTTGCCATAAACCCTCACCCTGCCCGAACTATGTGCGTACAGCGCTTTGATAATGTTTACATATTTATCAGGCACACCTTTCCTCAACAGACAGTCCCAAAGGGCACATCGATCGACTGAGTCGAAGGCACCTTTTATGTCAAGAAACACGACAACGGTGGGTCGCCAATAAACATGGCGGTGCTCCAACACTTGACGCAGTGTGAAGATGTGGTCGATGCAGCCCCGACCTCGACGAAATCCGGCTTGCTCTTCACGAATTTGGCTTTCACGAGTGCCAGTCAGTCTGTGGAGAATGAGAGAGGCAAGCAATTTAGAGGCAATCGAAATCAGACTGATCCCTCTATGATTGCCACATACCAAACGGGAGCCTCCCTTGAAAATTGGGACAATGACGGAGCGGTTCCAGTCTGTCGGGACTGTCTCCTGCTCCCAAAGTTTTACTAGCAACTCGTGTAGATCACCTATTAGAGCAGGTCCACCGAACTTGAAGAGGGCTGGAGGAATAGTATCTGCTCCTGCGGCCTTATGCAATTTCAACAGCCTGATCTCACGTTCGACTTCAGCGCGTGAGGGCGGATCCAGGGAGACGGCCCAAGGAGAAGGGCGCTCAATGCCCGAGGAAGAAAGAGATAACTCAGGTTGGTTAAATTGCATAGCAAAGTGTTCAGCCCAACGCTCCAAGCGTTTTGACAGGCTGTGGATCATCTGCCCACTCTCGTCGCGTATGGTCTCGCTAACACCAGGTCTCCTGCTGCCTGTTGCCCGTATCAGACGGTATAACTTACGATGATTACCAATGGCAGCGGCTGTTTCCATCTCAGAGGCACGATGAGACCACCAGGTTTCGCGGTCCTTCTTTAGGCTAGCACGTAGTTTCGCCCTGAGATTTTTGCGAGATTCATTGTATTCGCTTCCAGCCGGAATACGTCGGCGAGCATCCATAAGTTCCAGAGACTGTGTAGAGACCCAATGTCCGGTTTGGCAATTTGTTTTGCCACATGAAGACATGCCTGCTAATAGCAACGCTTGACGAGTGTGCGACCAGTGATCTTCAACGGTGTTTAGTGGGCGCTTACTCAGCCCAGATGTCAGCGCATCTTGGTACACATTCAGAACATCTGGCTTCGCCAGCTGGCTAGTGTCAATCCGTTCACATCGACGTTGCGGACGTCCACCGAAGCGCATCAGGAGGTCGGCACAGACAAGTGCGTGGTCAGAGTCCACGCTCGTGCTCCAAATCGAGCGACAGTTTTGGACACAGCCTCTCCAGCGGTAACTGATCGCGATATGATCGATTTGCGTCCATGACTGGCCCGAGGCTGGTGGCCGCCAAGTCACACTTCTGCGGGTGCTGTGTCGAAAATTAGTGCTCGCGAGAAACAGGCGAGCATCTTCACACAGCTGGAGCAATCGCTCACCATTATCATTACGGGAGCCTACACCATGTTGGCCGCCCAGATGAAACTCATCAGAGGACAATTTTCCGACTTGGGCGTTTAGATCGCCAGCCAGCACCACAGTATCCGTGCTTCTTCTGTAACGAAGGAGCTCGTGAAGTTGCTGGTAGAAATCATCTTTTACCGAATCAGTGCTACAGTTTGTAGGGGCGTAGGCCGCAATGACAAACAGGCACCGTTTGTCCCCGCGCGACTTCGAAGCACGGAACGAACCAGCTAATCTAACGGCGCACATCCTACTGTTTACTGGGATCCAATCAAGCAGTGCAGCTTCAGCCCGGGGACTCAAAACAATGCCGACGCCGGCTTGACCGGCATTTGAAGCTGCATCATCGCCAGATAGGCGCAATGAGAATGTGCCGCCAGTGTCGCATGTGGGGGATCTCAGGGTAACCACGGAGCTCGAATCTTGCAGGCGGGTTTCTGATAAACAGCAAATATCGATCGATAGGGTCTCTAGTGTGCGGGCAAGTGCTGCCTGTTGGCCAATCTGCAGCAAAGTGCGCACGTTGAGGCATGCCAATCTTAGCGAGACACGAGGACTCCAAAGGGAAACGGATGAACTGACGTTGTCCGCTTGGTTGAACATGGACTTATCGACTGGATTGGAGCGAGGCCCTGCGATTGTGTGTGATTTGAAATTAGAAGACAAGCGACTATTGAAGTAAGCTGGGGGGGGCCAAGAATTGGGGGATTGAAAATGGGGGGGATATAAGTAAAGTTGGAGCGGGACAATAAGGATGCAGAAGCGCAAGAAGGGGTATAAGAAGACGGGAAGGCCTGAGCAGTAGCATCCAAACCCCTATCCACCCTGCTCGATGCAGCAGATAGGGCGCCGTTTATTATCCTCTGCGACGGCCAGAGCATCAAGAAATTGTTGTAGGAAAGGTTCATTGTATTGCGTGGGCAGAATACTGTCAGGTTGCCCAGGCCTAGACAGGAGAACGATTAGGGTTCTCAACCAAAGCCTTTGGTTCAAAAACCTTACCGCAAGGCAGCGGGTTTTGGCACTGGACTACAGAGCCCGTTTTATGAAATGAGGAGCCACCCCCATTCCAACCCCCAACCTGGAGGACCAGGAGGCTGAGTTTGTCTGGCCTCTAACCATTGACCAATCTGGTATGAGTGGCTCTAAAGGTGCAAAAAAAAGCACCACCCAGCATAGCTCAATGGATCTCTGAGGCACGCAAACCATCGCACCACGGTAAGGTCCAGCCTCATTGCGATGGACCAACCTGGAGGACGAAGAGTTTGAGTCCGTCTGACCTATAACGTTTGACCAATCTGCTAGGAGTAGCGCTCAAGGGATTCAACGACACCAAACGGCGCAACCCAATGGGTCGAAGAAGTACACAAACTGCCGCATTCAATTAAGGTCCAGTCTAGCTGCGACGGACTCCTGCCATGAAGTCCGATACGAAACTCCACTCAGATGGAAATATGTAGTGCCGTCATGCTCATGGCAATAGTCAAATTGGAGGTCCACAAAAAATAACTCACTCCACGAACCATACGGAAGACGTATGAACAATAGGAGCCGTTGAGGAACCTTCGAATTGAAGAACATCATTCCGTGGAGTCACGTCGCCACGAGTTGAAACGCAAGACGTGCCATTTGCCTAGTGAAAATTTCATTAGATATGCTTAACTTACCGCACTAGATAAAAGGAGTGAGACCAGGTCTGGAAAGCGGAGGGATGCCAAACGTCCTCCGTAGTAATTGTAGCTGTGCGGTAAACGGCAGGAAATGATGCGGTTACCTGTCGATATGCAAAACCTGCTTTCCCAGGATAGAGAGACTGGCAGATAGGATAGATTCACCTAATCCTGTATGAGACAGATAAAGCATTGGTCATATAGTACAAAAGGGAAACATGACAGAGTAAATGAAGCTGATTTTCAATGTACAATAATTTATGCGTCACCAAGGCAAGCTAGAGGACGCTTCAAGTAGATACGGTTGTCAGCCATGTCCGTTCACCTACCATGTTGACCAGTTACTAAGAGGAATGATCAAAAAGTACAAAATGCCGCATGGGATAGACAAGACAACGAGCGCAAAAATGCCACTAACTTCGTGGCTGTGCCACATTTTACGGTGTTTCTCGTCAGCGGTGAGGCCGACTCCGACGTCTGCAGATTGGAAAACAACACTCATCAATCATAATGAGCCCTTTAGTGAGCCACTTCATGTTATTTTGCGCAGTCACTTTGAGATCTCATCCAGCTAGGTGCGGCAATAGCAAACGATACACGCCCAGGCAACAAGCTGTAAGGAACGAAGAGAACATGGCTAACCAGACTAGGCGATTCGAATTCAACAGCGCCCACAGTGGCACAAGAGTAAACTCCAAAACACCAAACGGTAAACGTCAGTATCCCTCATTCGTTGCTCCCGCGAGATATCAGCAATAGTTTTAAGAGTATCAATTTGTGAACACAGTCGCACTAGTTTTGCACAGCATTCCCACAAACAATAACCATATATCCCACCGATCCTAAAAATGACCGAAGCACTATAAAGTCCTACGAGCCGGAAGAATATGAGAAGTGTTTTCCAAGGTGATAGGACCACCAATGCTAATGTAGGTTTTGTATGATGAAGTTGAGGAGTGGTGATGTATCTGCTAGTTATACGACAGAAGAAAAAATACATGGCAACGTTTGGACTGGGGCTAGTCTAACCTATAGTGTACGTTACCATCTTAAACTAAGTTTAATGATTGACTACTGAACAGAACCTCAACCCGAAAAGAAGTGGAAGAACACAAGAGAGTTACTCATATACAGTTAGAGGACAAAATCAAAAAGAAAAGGAGAGATAAAGCGGCCTTGAGATATTTCAGGCACTTCGATTAAATCCCCCTGTACAGCTGCACACGGTTTCGTACACCCTTCAAAGGCGAACACCGCCACTAGTAGGTGCGTTCACATGGCGAGGTCCTCAACTTCGGCCGTGCACTAGGATCTCTTGCAGTGGAATCTTTAACACACACTTTTATGGTTGCATACAAACTATCGTACATTCAATTTTTTATACGGCCACAATTGTCAACATGTTGACCTATATGCGCGATATTTTGAAATCGCTGTGATTCCGCGTCCAAAAGCTGAGTCGTTTCTAAAGGGCAGGTTATTAGGAATACAGTAAAAGGAATTTCAAATGAGAAAATAATCCCGGAAAAGACATCAGAAGCAAGACAGTTAGGCGAATAAGCTTGTTTTCGGTGGTTCGCATCAGGCTAGCACACCACAGAAAATAGGAATAAAGCAAACACAGGAGGCACTTAATCCCATTGACTGGTCAATTCGCTTCATTGATTCATCGCATTTAAATAGCCTGTGTTAGTTTTATTCCGATTTTCTGTGGTGTACTGGCCTGATGCGAACCACCGAAAACAAGCTTCGTCGGCTAGCTGTCATTTGCTTCTGATGAAAAGAGTTTACTAGAAGCGTAATAGTTGTGCAAGAAAACACCGCATTGGATGGAAGAAAAAACCGGGAAGCATGAGGATAACTAAGTTACTTAACTCAAACAACCGTTCGCTTGTATGGAAATGGATGAACTAACTAGTGCTATCAATTCCCGAGGGCATTCGCAGCTAGGCATCATTTTTCTACAAGAGACCTGCCCTCACGAGGAGGTGGATGACGTACTTTTATCGGTAGAAGGGTTCAAATATCATCGTGTCAACTGCCCTTGTGCCTAGCGTAACCGTGGTGGTGAAGCCATACTTTACATCAACACCTCCTGGTGCATATATAGGAAAGTTTTGTTTTGCTTCTTTTCTCAACCTATTAGTTACCTTTGAGGTACAAGCAATGGTGGATCAACGCGTACCATTCAATCTTACTGGCTAGCATCTACAGTTTCCTCGACTGTCTGAAATCTGAGTTTTCTGCAACTGTCACAGAGCACACCGATTGTTCCCTATGCATTTTTGTTGGTGATTTTAACCGATTTGGCACTACTTTCCTCATAAGACTTGGGCTACCAAATACCGTTAATTTCCCTACCATATCCAATGCGAATCTGGACCCGGTATTTCTTAACATCCGGAAGCTTTTCTCCGTGTGTAATAAGGTGGCGCTTGGCAGTTCTGATCACTCAACAGTTAAGCTATGTCCTGCGGTCTACTCTAAGACAAACCATAAGGTGGCTACTTGTTGCCGCAGTCGTAAGTTAAGGCGAAAGCAATGTTCCGCAGAGAATATTGGCCGACTGCGAGGAATTGTATCATCCATCGACTACAGTTTATTTGTTAGCAGCGATGTACCCACGTACTGCTATCGATTGACAACCCACCTGAACTTCTGTTTTGACATTTGCTATCGATGCTAAACTGTTCATATGTGTGGACAGATTCTCTTCCCCCCCCCACGGGAAGCGGCTGTGTACATAAAAGTGAAAAGCTTTCAAAGGAAAACACAACACATCAGTAAAGTCATTATGCCTTTGTTAAGGAGGAGTTGCGTTGTCTCAACGTGTACGTTCAAGCTATAATTGGGAATAGCAGCTACTGTGAACTCTGGAGGATATTGAAACAACCAACGACGTAGATGTAGAGAAAGTGAACCATTATTTCTGCAATTGCTACAATAACTCGACCTCTGAATCATCCTTTGCCTAGCCTAAATTGCAGGCAGACGCCCTGCACTCTTTCGTCAGCGGCACTGTACACAGTTTGCTGGAACAGCTTCACTCAAGGAAAGCAAGTGGTCCGGACAGACTCTCGTTGTCCTCAAGGAATGTGCTGACTTCCTGGCCAAACCTATGGCCAATTTATATACATTGTGCATACAACAACATAAGATTTCCGACTGCTGGAGAGGCTTCAGAATCACACCAAATACCAAAAAAAGGTACAAGCAATATATCGACCAACTGCTTGTGCTTCAGTAACCCCAAAACGTGTTCAAAAATATTACTTCTAAGAAGATGCTGACAAAACATAAGTCAAATGATCCTCTTCGATTTGCCTACCGTAGGTCAATGCAGGACGCAGTAGCCTGCCTTGTGCACTCGGTTCTGGCATCACTGGACAATAGAATCAAGTACACCCGGGTCTATTTTCTGGACTACAGAAACGTATCGGTTGCACAAACCGCGAATTGCTGTTGGAAGATTTACTCGATACTGGAATACATCACTCCATTGTCCTTATGTTGAGGGACAATTTTATCGGTGGTACTCAGATTAGCCAATTTTGAGGCAGAGGCTCCTTACCTTTAACCACAAACATCGGGGTTCTTCAGGGAGCTATTCCGTCACCATTTCTATTTTCCAATGATGTCAGCTCAACACCAGTCCCTGAAGAGGCGATCCTGCTGAAGTATGCAGAGCACATTGTCCTTTGCGTCAATCAATCGACTACTGTCTCTTCAGCCAGATTACAAGATACGATTAACGGTCTCACGTTTTGGTAGAAGACTCAGGAGCTATCGCTTAGTGTGTCAAAATGCAATTATGCCGATAATAACAGCTTCTCAGGCAATGCCTAAAAATCAACGTATATGACGTGGAGTAGCATTCTTCCACATCCTTAAAGCACCTGGATGTCACACTTAGCTAGGATCTACCTTGGGCACACCAAATAAATGAAACGTACACAAAAGTCGGAAGGATTATCGTTTGGCGCCTCACATCTTCGAGTTTCCTCTGCCCCCTATGCTTTGCTACTTCGCTTTGTGACTGCCTGGATGTACCGCTCATCAGTGATTTTTCCGGGCCAGTTGGGTAAGGAGTTCAGACTACTCTCCAGATCGCTGTGTAGGGGTGTATCAAAGCTGACATTTGTTAACATAACTGTGCCCACAAACATTGGCTCTTATAAAGGACTAGCGTCAACAGTAATTGCCGACACGAGTCGCCCACTTTACTGTGTATAGTCGGAATGTGCATCGAACTCAACCAGACAGAAGTACATATCCATTTATGCCTGAACAAGAGTTTTTTGTCCGTCGATTATGCTTTACCTAGCGCGATATTTGCTAAACCGAAATAAAGTTGTCCGAGTATTAACCAATCGGATTATGCTATGCTGGTATTGTGTGTATCTTATTTATTAATCCACACTTTTAAATTGCATTAATATAATGCTGCATCGTTGAAGGCACACGTGTCACGGCTGAATATTCACCAGTTCTTGGTGGATCATAATCGGTCGATCGTAAAGATGTTCAAAGGCTGGCTTGCCGAACAACCTCCTCGTGGTGCCAGCTGGGTGGTTCGGGATGTTCCCGTTCCAGCAAATGGTTCGGCGGCAGTGTTCCAGGACGTGGCGGACGTGACTCGCCACTAAATAAAGTCACTGCCCCTTGCTTCATCCTGGCGAAGCATTGTATTCCAGCAAAGTCATGCTGTACTTCTGGGGAGCATTGGGCCCCTGTTTGACAAAGGAACAAACGAAAGGCGTATGAACTGAGCCATCAGTCACCGGCTCCCAATGGGCGCGATTCCCTGAATTCGCTCCGTTGCCTTGCGGACAGGCTATTCAGCCAAAGGCTCGGGGTGGTGTCCCCTAAGTCAACACCCTACTTCGGCTTGGGCAACCGGGTAGTATCTCGCCCTCTGAGGAAACCATGGACATTGTTGTGTTGTGTTTTATTTTACTATTTCTGTACTTTCGTTTGAATCCCATGGTTTCTGATGGCATTATGTCTATTCGTAGGCTTTTGCAAATATATATATATATATATATATATATATATATATATATATATATATATATATAAAGATGTTCAAACGTCTGAGGAAGAGTGAGAGAACGTCACTTTAGAAATTTCATGCAGGCAGTTCCCTTCAAGAATTTCAATAAAGCAAGAAG